ATCATTCATTAGTCCATCAAAAGCTTATAAGTACTTTCCAGAGTACATAAGTCACGAACCATTCGAAAGCCGTGTAGTGGCGGTCAAGAATATCCACTACCCCATATCCTCCCGTGGGTGTCGTAAAAGGCGACAAAGGGAAACAGGCAGGAGATGGGCAGCAGCATCTTCCTGATAATAGCCAAATTACAATAAAAAAAAACTGCGGTTGCCAACCCGCTCGCCAAGCGTGGCAACTATGGCAAATACCCCCCTATGAATGACAGTAACAAAGAAACGGCCCCCAGTCCCCGGCGGCCCCGCTATTCCTGGCTACGGTGGCGACCATGGTAACGGCGGGGCAGGGGGTGCTAAGAATCTCCGGTGGAGGTTCGGTTGCCACCTTAGACGACTCGACCTGGCAACGTACAACGCACGCACCCTGAGGACTGACGAGAAGATCGTGGAGCTGGAAGAAGAGATAGACAAGTTGCGCTGGCATATTATAGGATTATCCGAAGTCCGAAGAGAGGGGGAGGACACGGTAATCCTCGAATCCGGCAACTTGCTCTATCACCGGGAGGGCGACCATCTGTCCCAAGGAGGTGTCGGATTTATCGTCCACAAGTCTCTCGTTAACAACGTTGTAAAGATCGGGAGTGTGTCGACGAGGGTTGCGTACCTTATACTCAGAATCACCAAACGGTATTCGCTGAAGGTCATACAGGTTTACGCACCAACCTCGGCACACCCCGATGAGGAGGTGGAGGAAATGTATGAGGATATCTCTAGAGTCATGCATTCCTCCAAAACCCAATATACGGTGTTAATGGGAGACTTCAATGCAAAACTAGGCACAAGAGAGAGCGGTGAGCTGAAAGTAGGGAAATTTGGAATAGGGCAACTGAACCCAAGGGGCCAGCAGCTGGCTGACTTCATGGAGAAAGAGGGACTCTTTATGATGAACTCTTTCTTCCAGAAGCGGCCCCACAGGAAGTGGACCTGGTCGAGCCCCGACGGTTCCACAAAAAATGAGATTGACTTCATTATGACGACCAGACGACAACTGTTCAGTGATGTCTCCGTGATCGCGAGGGTGAAAACTGGTAGCGATCACCGAATGGTTAGAGGCACACTGAACCTAAACGTTAAGTTGGAGAGGTCTCGTCTAATGAAGTCAACGCTCCGTCCCCCTCGTGCTCTGTTCCAAAGTCCCGAAACCTTTCAGCTCGAGTTACAAAACCGTTTTCAGTGCCTGGAAGACTGCAATGAAGTGGACGATATGAATGACAAGCTCGTGGAAACTGTCCATGCGGTCGGAGCTAAGTTCTGCAAGACCCGCCGCAGAAGAACACAAAAACTCTCCGATCACACTCTTAATCTCATGGCTGTTAGACGGGAGATGAAGCTACATTCTTCAACAGACTTGACAGCATACAGGCATCTGAACAGACAGATCTCCAAATGCATGCGGCGGGACTTACGCAACTTCAATACAGCTCGTATTGAAGAAGCGATCGAGCGGAACCAAGGCTCCAAAGTCTTTGCCAGAGATCTGTCTGCCAGAAAGAGCCAACTGTCAAAGCTGAAGACAGAATTTGGCAGCATCGTTTCCGGGACACCTGAGATTTTGAGTGAGATTGAGAGGTTCTATGGGCAGCTGTACACATCATCGTTGGAGCCACACGCAAGTGTGAGTAACGATCCAAGAGCGAGTCTCATCCGACACTATTCCGAAGATATCCCGGATGTCAGTCTGAGCGAGATTAGGATGGCTCTCCAGCACCTTAAAAACGGTAAGGCCCCAGGCGAGGATAGAATTACAGCGGAGCTTCTGAAAGCGGGTGGAAGACCGGTACTTGAAGTCCTTCAGAAGCTCTTTAATTCTGTCCTCCATGGTGGCATTACACCGGAGGCGTGGAGCAGAAGTGCGGTGGTCTTGTTCTTCAAGAAAGGTGACAACGCTCTCTTGAAGAACTACAGACCGATTTCCCTTCTGAGCCGCGTCTACGTGCTGTTTTCAAGAGTCATTACGAATCGTCTCGCGCGCAGACTTGACGACTTCCAGCCTCCCGAACAAGCCGGTTTCCGAAAGGGCTTTAGCACCATAGACCACATACATACCCTTCGGCAAGTTGTACAGAAGTCCGAAGAGTACAATTTGCCACTATGTCTGGCGTATGTGGACTATGAGAAAGCCTTTGATTCCGTCGAAATTTGGGCGGTGCTGCAGTCCCTTCAGCGGTGACAAGTTGACTGTCGGTATATCGAAGTGTTGAAGTGCTTGTACAGTAGGGCTACGATGGCTATCCGAGTACAGAACCAGAATACGAAACCTATCCAATTGCAGAGAGGTGTAAGACAGGGTGACGTCATATCCCCGAAACTCTTCACCGCTGCATTGGAAGACGTTTTCAAGCTTCTGGACTGGAAAGGATACGGTATCAACATCAATGGCGAGTACATCACTCACCTTCGATTTGCCGACGATATAGTCCTTATGGCAGAATCGCTGGAGGACCTAAGCACTATGCTCAATGACCTCAATAGTGTTTCCCAACGGATAGGTCTTAAGATGAACATGGACAAAACAAAGATCATGTTTAATGTCCATGTCACACCTATGCCGGTAGTTGTTGGGAGCACTAAGCTCGAAGTTGTTGACGAGTATGTTTACCTGGGACAAATAGTCCGACTAGGTAAGTCCAACTTCGACCGAGAGGTCAATCGACGGATTCAACTCGGCTGGGCAGCGTTCGGGAAGCTACGACACATCTTCTCGTCAGACATACCTCAAAATCTTAAAACGAAATTGTACAACCAGTGCGTGTTGCCAGTGATGACTTACGGAACTGAGACGTGGTCCTTCACTGCTGGCCGTATGAGGAAGCTCAAGGTCGCTCAGCGAGCTATGGAGAGGGCTATGCTCGGAGTTTCTCTGCGTGATAAACTTAGGAATGAGGATATCCGCAGTAGAACCAGAGTGACCGACATAGCCCAACGGATTAGTAAGCTGAAGTGGCAGTGGGCCGGCCATATAGCTCGAAGAACCGACAACCGATGGGGAAGAAAGGTTCTCGAGTGGCAGCCTCGTACCGGTAGGCGAAGTGTAGGGCGTCCCCCCACGAGATGGAGTGACGACCTGGTAAGACATGCAGGAAGTCGATGGATGCAGGTGGCTCAGGACCGTGCTTTGTGGCATTCTTTGGGGGAGGCCTATGTTCAGCAGTGGACTTGTGAAGGGCTGTAATGATGATGATGATACGAGTAGTAAATCTTCTTACGTTTTGGAGTTATCTCCCCGTTCCGAGCAAAGAGTCAAACTCCCAACAAATTTATATTCAGGTAATGCTGTAATCGATTATAAAGAATTCTGTAAGGGTGTGCGAATGCCTAGTGCGTTAGTGAGATGTAAGGATGGTTATACGACTACAGTAATCCAGAATACCTTAGATATACCGATAAAATTAACTATAAAAAAACCATTGAATGTAGAAGCATATGAAGAGAGTAAAGAGACTAAATGTATAGTTAACCATATTACAGATATGTCAGATATTGAAGTAGATAAAATATTAGAGCAAAATTTAGAGAAACTACGCTTAGACCACATGTCGGAAGAAGAACAAAAATCGATATACCACTTATGTAGAGAATATAAAGATATTTTTTATAGCGATCAAATACCTTTATCTTTTGCTAATGAGGTGAAACACTATATTAGAACAAACAACGAAGACCCTATCTATGTCAAACCCTACAGGCAACCTCCCGCACAAACACAGGAAATTAAAAACCAGGTACAGAAACTATTAAATGATAATGTGATTCAGGAATCCTTTTCGCCTTGGTCAGCCCCAGTCCATTTAGTTCCCAAAAAGAGAGACGCATCTGGTGAAATGAAGTATAGGATGGTTATCGATTACAGACGTCTAAACGACATAACTGTGGACGATAAGTACCCTTTACCCAATATCACTGACATTTTTGACAAACTAGGTAAGAGTACTTACTTTTCAACCTTGGACTTAGCTAGTGGATACCACCAAATTGAAATCAACGAATCAGATAGACAAAAAACGGCATTCAGCACAGAGAACGGACACTATGAATTCCTTCGAATGCCCTTTGGCCTGAAGACCGCTCCAGCCACCTTCCAAAGAGCCATGGATAACATCCTAAGAGGCTTACAAGGAATTCATTGCCTTGTCTATCTTGATGACATAATTATTTTCTCGAGTAGCCTCCAGGAGCATTTACAAAAATTAAGGACAGTTTTTGACAGATTGAGATCGACTAATTTAAAAATACAACTTGACAAATCAGAATTCTTGAGAAAAGAAGTGCTATACCTAGGGCACGTTATTACTAAAGACGGACTTAAACCAAACGATGATAAGATTCAGGCTGTATTAAGCTACCCGTTACCAAGGACGACTACCGAGATCAAGAGTTTCCTAGGATTGATTGGTTATTACAGACGCTTTGTAAAAGACTTCGCCAAAATCACTCAGCCCCTTACAACATGCCTAAAGAAAAGAAATAAAATTGTAATAGATCAAAAATATATTGATGCGTTTCAGAAGTGTAAGGAGCTTCTGACTAATGCACCTTTACTCCAATACCCAGATCCAGACAAACCTTATGTTTTAACTACAGATGCTTCTACTGTTGCTTTAGGTGCGGTCTTATCGCAGGGGACAATAGGATCCGATAAGCCCATTGCCTACGCTAGTAGAACTCTCAGCAACACGGAGACCAGTTATAGTACAATAGAGCGTGAACTACTCGCCATAATATGGGCCGTAAAACATTTTAGACCATACCTTTACGGGCGTAAGTTCACCATATATACCGACCATAGATCACTAGTTTGGCTTTACTCACTTAAAGAACCGAACAGTAAACTGACCCGTTGGCGTTTAAGTCTTCAAGAGTATTTACTAGCAAGCTAGTTGTACTGTTTGTCCTATTGATACACTTGAAGAGTTGATAATATATAAATCAAACTACAACAATGTATGATCTGAGCTGGTTTTATTATTATATACAATAATTTTAAATGGCCTTATTACACACTGAGTAACGCAACCATAGTGCAATCTATTTCTATGTCAACGCCATCTATCGAAGTAGAACTAAAACTTTTTTAATTACAAATGTGGTTTCTTCATTAACATACCGCCCACCAAGGACATTTAGTGACGGAATGGCCTTTTAAATTGTACTTAAGTCTAAAATTTGCACTTAAATCTAAAATTTGCACTTAAATTTAAAATTTGAACTTAAATCTAAAATTTGCACTTAATACTTTATAACACACTTCTATAATTTAATCTCATAAAGTATGACCTAAAAACTTACAAATAAAAATAAAGACTTCAACAGCTTAAAATAACCTAAAATAAAATTTTGAAAAGTAACATTGTAAAATTAAACCTATAAATGTAATTAATGTTGTACATATAGCTACATTTGATCGTAAAAGTAAAAGAACATTTGATACAATAATATTTTTACATAAATTTGACATAAAAATTGAACAATTCATGGATCCGAGATAGGCAGAATACATAATTTTGATGTTGGCCTCTTAATTACGGATGTTTTCGTACGCAATGTGACTACACGGGTAACGTTATCATCACCGGGGTGTTTCTCTATAACTCTACCCAATAACCAACGACTTGGAGGCAAATCATCTTCTTTAATTAAAACAACGTCACCAACATTAGGTTCCGGAACTTGTGACGCCCATTTGTACCTATTCATGAGCTTTGACAGATATTCCTGTGACCATCGTTTCCAAAAAGACTGCAGCATCCTTTGCACAAATTGCCACCTAGTTAAATAGCTTACGTTTGAACTTTTGTAATTTTTATCTGGTACATTAATTATCGGTTCTCCTATTAAAAAATGTCCAGGAGTTAAAGGGAGGGGCTCACCAGGATCAGTAAAGTTAATAACGCTTATCGGCCGCGAATTCAGACAGGCTTCCACTTGATTGAGGAATGTAGTCATTTCCTCGTACGTTAGGGTAGAGTCGCCAATAACCCTTTTAAGGTGAAATTTGGTGGATTTTACACCCGCTTCCCAAAGACCACCGAAATTGGGAGCATGAGGCGGAATAAAATGCCACTCGGTGTTGTTTGCTTCCAGATATTCTGCTATGGCTGGCTGAATAGATGCCAACTGTTGCAGTTCTCTGGAGGCGCCTACAAAGTTGGAGCCGTTGTCGCTCCACAATTTAGCACAGTGACCTCGTCGCGACACAAAACGTCGAAAAGCGGCTAAAAATGCCTGTGTGCTCATGTCACTGACGACCTCTAGGTGAATAGCACGAGTGGACATGCAAACGAAAAGGCATATGTAGCCCTTATAAGAACGATGCCCACGTCCTTTAGTGGTTCTTATACTTATGGGTCCAGCATAATCCACTCCGCTATATAAAAATGGTCTTGCTGGTGTACATCGAACCGATGGGAGCGCACCCATCAGTTGGTTTCTAACACTAGCTCTCTGTTTCGCACAAGTTACACACTTGCGAACATATTGTTGAACTAGAGATCTAGCACCTATTACCCAATAGGCTGACCTTAAATAGTTTGCCATTAACTGAGGACCACCATGCAATGTCTTCTCATGCGCGTCTGCAACTATAAGAAGAGTCAAATGGCATGAATGTGGTAGAACTATCGGATGTTTTACTTGCTCATCTAGTTCAGACTTTTCAAGTCGTCCACGAATTCGCATGATACCATTCTTGTCGAGAAAAGGACAAAGTGATTTCAATTTACTTGATTTTATATTTAAATACCCTTTTTCCTTTAATTGTTCATATTCTGTTGTGAATTAATCTATTTGTGATTTCCTTATACAAGTTTGTAATGCTGCTTCTATTTCGTGATCTTTCAAATATTTACTATCGTGCTTTTCCTTTTTTAAAACTCTTCGACAATACGCAATAACTTTAACTAATTTTCTTAGACTGGAATAATTTTCGAAAACTACGTGCTCTGGAACTACAGCTGTGTGCGCCTTTATAGTTTGTTCTAAATCTGTCTTTAGATTCTTTGGCCTCTTGTACTCAATTAATTTATTTTTCAGAAATGATGGTCCTGAAAACCATAACTCATTACCGACTAATGAACTGGGAAGTATTCCTCTTGATGCGCAGTCAGCTGGGTTCTCTTTGGTCGGCACATGAAACCATTGAGATGAATTCAAAGCGCCCAAAATTTCTGAAGTCCTGTTGGCAACAAACGTTTTCCACCTGCTAGGGTGACTATTAAGCCACGATAGCACTACTGTAGAATCAGTCCATGCAAAGATCTTTTCCTTTGAAATATTTAAAATCTCTGCTGTCTCTATCAATAACTTTGATACAAGTACAGCACCACATAGCTCCAATCGAGGAATACTAATTTGTTTGATGGGAGCTACTCTCGTTTTAGCCACTAACAATGACAGATGAATTTTGCCTGAGACATCAATTGTTCTTAAGTAAACGACGGCTGAGTACGCTGCTTTAGAGGCGTCACTAAAACCGTGCAATTCAAGGTCATCAGATGAACTAGTACCAAGCCAACGAGGTACCTGAACTTTGGTTAGTAATGACAACTCTTCGCGGTAAGTACTCCACTCTGTTATTACTTCGGTAGTTAATTCCTCATCCCAACATACACCTAAGAGCCATAATTTTTGTATGATCATCTTTGCTAATACGACACTAGGAGCTAACCATCCCAATGGGTCGAACAAACGAGCTATTCCTTTGAAATATTTAAAATCTCTGCTGTCTCTATCAATAACTTTGATACAAGTACAGCACCACATAGCTCCAATCGAGGAATACTAATTTGTTTGATGGGAGCTACTCTCGTTTTAGCCACTAACAACGACAGATGAATTTTGCCTGAGACATCAATTGTTCTTAAGTAAACGACGGCTGAGTACGCTGCTTTAGAGGCGTCACTAAAACCGTGCAATTCAAGGTCATCAGATGAACTAGTACCAAGCCAACGAGGTACCTGAACTTTGGTTAGTAATGACAACTCTTCGCGGTAAGTACTCCACTCTGTTATTACTTCGGTAGTTAATTCCTCATCCCAACATACACCTAAGAGCCATAATTTTTGTATGATCATCTTTGCTAATACGACACTAGGAGCTAACCATCCCAATGGGTCGAACAAACGAGCTATATCTGATATTATTAGTCTTTTTGTTACAGGTGCTGTCGTCAGCGGTGGAAGATTTACCGAGTACTGAAAGCAATCTTCGTGGCGGTTCCAGGTAAGTCCCAAAATTTTTATTGTACTATCTAGCTTAATTTCTATTTCCTTATTATCTATTTCCTTTTCCTTAACTCCTATGTCCTCTTTGTCCTTATTTTCAGTGTTCTCATTTTTAATTTTTATTTGACCTGTTTGCTGTACTACTTCATTTGTATATATTGAACTTATTCTTTCTAATAGTTGCCGATTGTTACTGTTCCACTTCTGCAATGCGAATCCTCCCTTTCCTAATAATGCTACCATCTGTTTACAGATTTCAACGCCCTCTTCGACGCTATTACTTCCCATCATTAAATCGTCCATATAAAAAGAGTTTAAAACTCTATCTGCTGCAAGCGGGTACTTATCTCCTTCGTCGTACGCAACCTGATGGAGTGACCTAACTGCCTGATATGGTGCAGAAGCTGTTCCAAAGGTCACCGTTACCAACTCATAATCCCTAAGTGGCTTTTCAGGGCTTTCTCGCCAAAGTATCCTCTGGAAGACAGCATCTTCATCCGCTATTCTGACTTGGCGGTACATTTTGATTATATTCGCCACAATACCAATAGCGTGTACTCTCCATCTAAGAATGGTGTGTCTTAAGTCTGCTTGCAGCGTTGGTCCAACCATTAAAGTGTCATTGAGTGAAACTCCTTTTTTATTTTTCTCAGAGGCGTTGAAAACTACACGTACCTTCGTGGTGGTCTTATCGTTTCTAATCACCGCGTGGTGTGGTAAGTAAACTGCTTCATCTTTCTTATTATCCTCTTCCTTTACAGGTCTCATGTGTCCTAATTGTAAGTATTCATTAATTACCTCTGTATATTTTTCCTTTAAATATGTGTCCTTATTTAATCTTTTTTCTAACGATTTGAATCTTGTTTCAGCTATGTCACGGGAACTTCCAGCCTTGCATGCAGGATCTTCGTCTCGAAATGGTAAACGTACAATGTATCTGCCTGTATCATCCCTCTTAGTAGTTTTCATATAAAATTCTTCACATTTTTGCTCTTCTGGGTTAAGTAATTTCCTTGTACTAACTTGTTCTTCTATCTCCCAGAATTTCTTTAGAATATTGTCTTCATTGAACTGTGTACAGTGCACACTTAAATTTCTTGTGTGGTGTTTTGAACTCTCATTGCTTGAACTGACTACACCGGAAAGGATCCACCCTAAGGTGGTGTTCTGCGCTATTAGAGTACCAGACGGACTCTTTACTACACCTTCCTTCATAATGCAACAGTAAGCATCTGCACCCAAAAGAATGTCTATTTTATTAGGTGTTTTGAAATAAGGATCTGCCAAACAAAGACCGTTGATATCAATCCAATCCAATGAACTGGTATTCACACTTCTCTCAGGTAAGTATGATGTAATCTTACTCAAGACGTAAGCATTTATTTGAAGTTGAAAATCAAGATCAACAGTGGATTTAATAATTAAATTTACCATATAATTAGCAATGGTTGACTTATTATCTCCTAAACCTGAAACGTGACCTCGGACTGGAATTTTCTTAAGCCTAAGAAATTGGACAGTGGCCTCTGTTATAAAACATGCTTGTGATCCTTGATCAAGTAGGGCTCAAATTGTTTGAAATTCACCTATCTTGGACTCTGCCTTTATTAATGCAGTGGCTAATAAAACCTGTCTGGGTTTTAAGACTTTGCCCGTAGATAAGCATGTAACTATCTGATTGTCACTATTTGAAGAACTGGCGTTGTCGATAGTGGACTTTACTGTAGAATCTTGGCCTTTATTCTCAGCGTTAGGTTCTCTATTAGGGTGCAGCAAGGAATGGTGGCGCTTTTTGCAAACTCTACAGACATTCTGCTTTTTACAGTCATAAACTGTATGATTTCCGCCTAAACAATTAAAACATATTTTATTTTTTGCTACGAACTCTCGTCTGTTTTCTATGGACTGTTTTGCAAATTGCTTACAAAAACAGAGCTTGTGAAGTTCTGAGCAAAATTCGCAACGAATATTCGACGACTTTGTGGCCAGCATTGCTTTCGAACTAAGAACGTGAGAACTATTATTGATCTGGTGAGCCACAGCCTTCCTCGGCTCTATACATTCTAAAGCGCGAAAACGACTTTCAATAAATATCCGAAACTGCTCAAAGGTGGGCAACTCGTTGCTGGAGTCATTAGAAACACTTAACTCCCACTGCTTTCGTGTTTCATTATCTAATTTGAACGTCACTATATGGATAACAATAACGTCCCATGTACTTACATCGATTTTCAAATTTTTCAATGCATTTAAACGGTCGCTCGTGGTATCTAGCAGCTCCTTTAATGAGTTAGCCGATTCCACATGTAAGCGTTTCTGGCCGAACAATCTTTTTAAAATACAACTGGTTAAATACTTTTTATTTGCATAACGCTTTTCTAACTGAGACCAACATTCGCGGTAATTGGCATCTGTGATTGGTGTGTGCCTAATCAACTGTTCGGCTTCACCAGTGAGGTGGCTTTTAAGATAGTGCAGTTTTTGCACATTATCTAAAGATGCATTATTGTGTACAAGTGAAATAAAAAGATCGTGAAAAGATGTCCATTCACTGTACTTGCCAGAAAAGGTAGGAATTGTTATCTTGGGCAACTTTACAAATGAATTAGATTGCTTAGAAGAATTATTACTACATCCACTGTCTTGTGGTAGCGGTTCTCTTACACTATTTAACGTTGATTTCATTAAACATTTACATGATATGTAAGTATCTTCGGTTGTGTCATATATATCGACAACCTTTTGACCTATGTCTTCTAACTTAAACCGACCATAAAGTTGAGATTTAGTATTTTTAAACGAAGACCAATCATTTTCTAATAATTCAAGCCTTGTTTGTATATATTCTACTGTAAGTCTATCCTTTGGACACTTTTTAAAATTAGTAAAGGCTTTTTGAATTACTTGTTGAAGGTCTTTTAATATATTAATTTGTCCTTCCATCGTAAACAACAAACAAAATGATGGTAAAAGATAGTTATAGAATTGATTAATTAATATCAAACAAAAGTATAATTTAATTATTTATGTGAAGATAAATTTATCAATCTAAATGTTAACACAATATTAACTTGGTAACAGAACAACCTCAATTGAAATGTATAACTTTACAAGTTTCTTTACTAGACAAAAGTTTGCGATTTTTTCTAAGTCTCAAAAACAACGAAAAATTTTACAAGTGTTTATAAATAAATACACTCTGGTAGAAATCGGACATAGGTTCCCCGTTCCTCCGTTTTTATAAAACTTATTCTAAGTCCTTAATCTAACATGCACAATTTTAAAGTTAAAATCTTCTTAGAAATAAAGTTTAAAATTGCTTGGCAAATAATGTCTACAGTACTTGTCACCAATCAAGTTATATTAAATGTCTCTGCTACTATGGTATTTAATTAAATTGTACTCACGTTTGCACTTCACTCACACAAACCCAGGTTGAACTAGTAGTGTACTCGTGGCGCCCTCCTTCGGCGTCACTTTGAACTTCAACTCCCGGCTGCTATCGACGAACTCGAAGATTGAATTGGCGATGTACTGCTGATGGCGCCCTCTGTGGCGTCACGTTGAACTAACACTCCCAATGCAGCTGAGTATGGCCCTCTTGCTGGGCCAAGCTGTTGCTGCCTCTGCGAGGTGCCCGGTACTCTTGCCGCAGCGATCCACTGCGAGTACTACGGGGTGCGGCCCAAAGCTGGCACCGCAAACTAACAAAAAATTCAGACTATTCCGGGTCTGATATCCGGGGTCGATGGACCAATATTTACTAGCAAGCTAGTTGTACTGTTTGTCCTATTGATACACTTGAAGAGTTGATAATATATAAATCAAACTACAACAATGTATGATCTGAGCTGGTTTTATTATTATATACAATAATTTTAAATGGCCTTATTACACACTGAGTAACGCAACCATAGTGCAATCTATTTCTATGTCAACGCCATCTATCGAAGTAGAACTAAAACTTTTTTAATTACAAATGTGGTTTCTTCATTAACAAAGAGTACGACTTCGATATTGTATACAAAAACGGAAAACAAAATAGTAATGCTGATGCCCTCTCTCGGATAAAACTAAATGCCATAGACTCTGATGACTCACAATCATTGGAAGTAAACCTGGACGCTAAAGAACAAAAACTGCAAAAATTTCTGACAGAATTAACTGACCAAATTGTGGACTTAACGACTGAAAACAGGGACGACTCTAGGACAATAACAATAACTGACACATCCGCCACTGTACCCGTCGACCAGTTAGAGACTAACACGAAATACCCGTTACCACCTATATCTTCTGATAGTAGTATAGTAACTGTGCATTCTGGACAAGATCTAGAATCTAATGGT